ATATATATATATATATATATATGAGGCTAATATCCGCCTGTCCTTAAAACTCTTCCTACAGTCCAATTTGGATGAAACTTCACACGATTTTTAAACATCATAAGGGGAAGTTCCTAACCAAGTTTCATTACAATTAGGTCTCTTATAAAAAAGTTTATTTAGTGCATGTATCCACTTTTATTTAAGAAATAAGTCAAGAACAGCTTTATCACATTATAATGGAAAATGAGATAAAATAGACCCTCACTAAAATTGTAGTAAAGTGATTTTAATGCAGAATTTAAAGGCGAGTCTTCCTATTGGAGAATCATTGTGATATTTAAAAAGAAGAGTGACTTTTTCTGCTGGAGAATCCAAATGTATGTTATGAATTGAATTGTTCTGTGATTGAAGGAACCTCGAGTCCTTCATACGGAGTCAGTTGCATACAAATTTGCAGGAATTTTGTAGTAACTCAATCTTTATAAGTTACATAAGTATTTTTTACTTCAGTATGAGTATAAAGTGATTGAAAATTGTGATGCCAAAGGTTGCAAAATGGAAAAGTTACTTATCACAGAGAAAGTCTGAAATTTTAAGAAAGAAAATAAAATATCAGGATGCAAGTTACAGAAATAAATAGATAGGCTTGCTCACCAAGTCATGAGGCAAGATCCAGTGAAAAGAAACAAGGAACAAACCTGAAATACAGAAGAACATCAAATTGCTGGTCAAGATCTAGTGAGAAGAAACAAGGAACAAATCTGAAATACAGAAGAACATCAAATTGCTGGTCAAGATCCAGTGAAAAGAAACAAGGAACAAACCTGAAATACAGAAGAACATCAAATTGCCGGCCAAGATGCAGTTAGAAGAAGTCAGGAGCATTTCATGACAGAGAAGCACACTGTTAAGCTCGCCAAGATCCTGACTGAACAGTGGCCCTAAGGGTGGCATTTCTGCTAGTTCTAAATATTTGATTTTAGTAAGCGTAGAAAATATATGTATTTGACATTTCATAATTACGTCTTTTAAATGTTTAATAATTTACTGTTAAAAATTATAAATACATATTAAGAATAAAAAAAGCATAATGACATATAAGTGATTTTAGCAGAGATAAAAAATAAAGAACCTTATGAAAATTGTAAATGAAACTGTTTCTGTATCTCTTCTCACAACAGAAAAACCACTCTTCAAAGCTTATACTTTTAATTTTTGTTTACCTTTTTTCAAGATGTTACTGTTGCAGGAATTACTACTACTTGCTTTATTAACTTTTCATAACAGTGGAAGTATTAATTGTATTTTAATTTCTTTCCTCCCTCCACAGTATTTGATGTAGAAACTACCAAGCAAATTGTTATAAACTGTATGTGAAAAGGGCTAATACAGACATTAGTACAAAGAAAGTTGTATTTCTGTGAAGGACTGTGTTCGCATACGAAGTTATTTGGTTCTTGTCAGATAATAAAAGGATAAAATCAAGTGAAATCTTTATGAAGTTTATGGATGAGACAAATGTAGATAATTTTTAGTAAAATCAGCAGAAGTCTGTACATTCAAAACACTTATTTTGTCTATTGCTGTCTTTTCATTCAAGTCTTTATGTTGTATTGCTAGTAGCAATTACTAGTATTAGCTATAACAGGAAGAAAAAAAGCTAATAAGGAAATACTGGGCTAACTTGAATTATTTTCGAATGAATATATCATGTAAACACATCAATTAAAAACATTGGTTATGACTCACACAGACAGGAAGTAATGTTTTAAACATATTTGAATCACTGGAAGTAATTATCAAATAATTTTGCAGAAATTTAAGGTTCTATTCTCAATATAACAGGTTGTCATTATTAAGATAGTTTTCCAAAAAGTGTATTGTAGTGATGATGTATATTCTAGTTTGAGGTCTAATATTTTGTCAACCTACAGAATCATATGAACTGAGAAATTCTCAGTATCTCTCTAGGTTTGAATATGTTTAGATCAGCAAGAACAATATTAATAATGATTATTTTCCAATTGAATATTTCTTGTCTAGCACAAACTATATTTAAAGAAACTTTGGTTGAGTTATGAGTTTTAATTGGTTTATTACTATTTGTAGACTCCTCGAGTTCTGGGGGTGAGAGTATGTACACCATGATGAAGACAGTTCCAGGTGGAAGTATGACAGGGGTAAAGTTAATTCTTAATACATGATAAGATGTTATTTAAAGCTGAGATTGACAATACAAAGTTGGCATACATTTTGAGTAGTTGCATATCTTACCTTGGAGCTGGCTAGATGAGTAGACGATTGAATAATTTACTGACTGTAGATGGATGGGTGGGTTGCTGAGCTGATTTCTACAGTCAGTAAATTATTCAATCGTCTACCAATCCTCTAAATTACCACTAGTAGATCTTCAGTCATCAGCACAGCAACCCAATCAGCTACCCACCCATCCAACTGAAGATCTACTAGTGGTAATTTAGAGGATTGGATAACTAGCTGATTGAGTGCATAACAGAATAGCTTACTGACTGCATATGATTGGATGGATAACTAACTAACTTGTAAGTAGGTGGAAAGATGGATGATTGATAGTTGAACAAACAGGTTACTGGATAGATAGGTTTCTAATGATTAATACTTTACTGGCTAAATTCATAGCGTACTGCAAGTGTTCTCAAAGTACAGGACATAGGAGTCAGAAAGGAGATAAAAAGATGCAGAAAATCTCTTTGAAGTGCTATTTGGAAATATATTTTAATATAGTGGCTTAGTAATTAGGCTTAATATTGTTTGGTTTTGCTACAGGTGAAGTATCTCCTCACTTTTTATTATATTTTTAGTTTATTTCACATTTTTGTGCAAAGCTACACATGGGCTATTTGAATATAGATGTCTCTAGTTTTAAACTGACAGACTAGAGAGAAGGCAACTAGTCAACCATACCCACTGGCAACTCTTCTCTGGCCAAACAGTGGGATTTTACTGTCACTCTTATAGCACATTAACAGACCCATGAGGCCATGGTATACTTTACTCTTTATTATTCGATATGTGTTTTGATTGTATTGAAGCAATGGAATACTTTAAAAATAAACTGTATGTTTGAAGTGTATTATTGTACTGATGCTTTCTTTTTTAGACTTTTAGATTTTCAGTTACCTAGTATGAAAAAGTTTGAGAACCTCTGCTTACTGATTAGATAAATGAATGAATTTATATCCACAAGGCTGAATAAATTATCTGTAAGCTTACTGGCTAGATGAATAAATAATTGATTTACTCTTTGTCTACTGAATGGATTGATGAATACTTTGCTGGCTGGAATAATTGATCAATAACTTTCTGAAAAGAATAGCTTTATAGTTGGATAGAAGAATAGAAGAAGAATAGTTAACTTGCTGGGTAACTGTTTATTTAGAAGAAACAAACACAAGATAAGATTGAAGCTTTTTTAGTTACTGAAAATTCATTTGTAACTAGCTTACTTATTATGTCCTAAATTATCCTTGTGCCTTTCATGTATGTAAAAATAAAAATTGATAATCTTGAATTAGACTAGAAGTTGCAAATTTTAAAGACATCTCTAATTCTTGTATAAAAAAGACGAACATTTACTCTAAAGAAATTTTCCTTTTTGTGGTAATATCTCTTGAATGTATTTGCTGTCTGAAATTATATCTGGTCTTCACAAGTAGAAAAAAATTATACATTTCCATTTTCTATGAATAAATCAACTATAAAACATTTATGGGCTTTTAACAGTTCCCTATTGGGCCAGGACCAGAAGGTCCCATGGGACAAATGGGACCAGACATGGGAGCACCAGTTCTGAATGGGATGTCCTCTGCAGGTATAACCACAAACCACTTTTTAAGTAGTATCCGAGTGTTATTTCCAAACAATATAATACTGTATGTTTGTTGTGAAGAGCCACCAGTAATCATTTTATTGTAGTATTCTTCACCATGTAAAGTACTGTTTTTATAGTATTTATCCTGAAGAGCATCTAGT